AAAGCCAAAGACAAGAAGACATGGTCATCAATATCCTCCGCCACAGTGTGGGAGGAGATGTTAGGGATGTGCAAGATAAAGCATATATAGAGAAGTATCCATCACCACAAATACAAATCCATTTCAAAGAAAATAGATTGTGACGATATGTGCGTATGTTACCAGTGTCGCTGCATGGAAGCATGTAACATATATGGCACCAATTTGAGGACACCATGCACTAAGCTACGAAATGCATGAAAAATTCCTTGACTCCATAAAAAATTGTAACACGGTTCCTGTGTAGCTCCACCACGACATTCATGTCCTGAAAACACATACCAAATCTGGTTTCCCTATCTATCTCAGTTTTTCAGCTTGATATTCCATGCTAGATGAGTGAGTGAGTGCGTGACAAAGTTTTGTTTTACGCCGCACTCAGCAATATTCCAGCTATATGGCGACGGTCTTTAAATAATCCATTCTGGACCAGACAATCCAGTGATCAACATCATGAGCATCGATCTACGCAATTGGGAACCGATGACATGTATCAACCAAGTCAACCAAGACAAGCACGGGTAAATGAAGATCAATTCTAACCCGGATCTTCACGGGTCCATCTTAGATGAAAGTGATACGACTGTATCGTACATGTACCATAGAAGACATCACCAGTCGTTTGAACTAGCTTCTCTGATTAATATAACTTCAACTCATAATAATTAGAACGTGTGCCTTACTTACACTTAAAATATTCTCTGATACTTTAGAACGTGTGAGATCAAGTAAAGTGACCTGAACTGTAAAAATTGACAACAATTTTTTAAAAAAACATACTCGTCCATTATGTTTGAACATTTCACGAGCTCAATTAATTACTCACGTGCACTTCTTGGCATCAGTGAAGATGTCTGCTTTTGCGGCATCAATCTCACATTGGCAAGCGGTGGTGACAGCTGATGATATAGGAAAATGTTTAAATTAGTCCTTAATGTTACATCGAATGTAAAGTATTACATTAAGAACGGGTTCTTATCTGTGTAAAAACATAACTTCATTTCAGTGACACATCATCCACAGTGTATCTTGTTTGCATTTGTTGTTTTTGCTCTTAAGTAAACTTGGCCTCCACAACACCATAAAGCAACAAATGGGCAATGATAGCATGATAGTAATAAAAATTAAATAGAATAAATAGTAATAAAAAGTCGAAAGCATTCTGCAGGCTGGAGTATCGAGCGCTTTCATCCTGGGTGCCGTTCCACTAACCGATCTGATCTAAGATCAATCTTAGCAAGTTACGCCAATTTTACAATCGTCTTAGCTAAAAGTTACAACCGTTCTGTCGTAACTGGCGTTTGGGTGTTAGTAAACCCTACCACAGTTACCTATTAATTATGGTCGTTCCACATTGTTCGGGGAGATGGTAGCTCTGGCACTCCACTCGCTTGGTCCGTTGCAGGATGCTAAGTCAAGGAGGGTTCGGACGACCGTGACTCCTAATTAACCACATAACATTCATGTACTGGCACACATACATTCAAAGATAAACGCAACACCAAGTTTATACTCACATAGTTTTTACTCTGTCTCAGTCCATCTCTCTAACTACAACTTCAACATCAGACAGGGCAGGTTCGTACCACACGGGGCAACTGAGTGGCGTGGACTGGCTTCCGTCACTAAAAAGCGCGCACCACCCGCTCAGTGCCCAACCTGTCTTTTTATATGGTTCGAGCCTGGCCTGATCTTGATCACATGTTTCAACTAATCGTTTTGATTAGGTTAGTCTGTATCCGACCTTGCACTCATGAATATTACGATTGGAAAAGTACCGGTAAGAATCGATCGGTCAATCTCCTCTTTGTTGTTTGTTTCAATGTAAGATTAATCTGTTATGTCTTTCACAACAAATGTGTTCTGTCTCTCTTTCCATAGCCTACGGCTAAACGCCATTCTATGGAAACTTTCCGTCCCCATACCGTGCCTAACCGTTATGACTCATGAGCAGAACTGCAAATCTAAATACGAATCTGATGTAATTCTCTCATGTTTCTTTGGGATGCATTTTTACCTTATAACAGTTCCACTAACCGATCTTAGGCCGATCGTAGCCGGTCCCGATCTTACGATCCGATCCAAGCTTAGATCGAAACTCTTTCGTGCGAGAGATAGAGGAATGCGAGGCACGAGTTATCTCCCTTTGCATAGTCTAGCAAATGATGGAAGTAGTTTACGAACCAACCGAGTGAGTGAGTGAGTTTAGATTTACGCCGCACTCAGCAATAGTCCAGCTATATGGCGGCGGTCTGTAAATAATCTAGCTTAGATGCATAGCGTTCACTAACATTAGCGTTCATGTTAGTGAACGCTATGTATCTTAGCTATAAATAATCGAGCCTGGACCAGACAATCCAGTGATCAACAGCATGAGCATCGATCTGCGCAGTTGGGAACCGATGACATGTGTCAACCAAGTAAGCGAGCCTGACCACCCGATCCCGTTAGTGGCCTCTTACGACAAGCATGAGTTATTGAAGTTCAATATTCTAACCCGGGCCTTCATGGGTATTTTTTCAACCAAGCCTAAAAGTGAGCAAAATATTAGGGTAGTGAGCACCTTGGTTTCAGGTGCAAGTGCGTGTGAACGCTGGGTATCAGGCATAATATAATAATAATAAATGCATATTTATAGTGCGCCTATTTCACATCCTGGGGCATGCTCAAAGCGCTATGTACAGATAATTTACACGAGAGTATTTACAGCCGAGATTATAAGTAATGTTTTAAGGTAAAAAATGCATCCCTAAATCAGTAAGAGAATTACATCAGACTCCGTATATAGATTTGCAGTTTGGCTCATGATGGATAACGTCTAGACGCTGGGAGGAGACAAAGTCTAATAGAATGGCGTTTAGTCGTAAGTTAGAAATATATACGTCGCTTGAGACAGAACCCAATAATAGATCAATAAAAATTGGGGGAGTTACCGAACTGTATTTACCGATAATTTTCCAATCATAATAATCATGAGTGCTGGGATGGATATAGGATTAACGAATCCAAACGGTTGGTTGAAAGAGGTGATCAGGATCAGGCCAGGCTCGAACCATATAAAAAGATAGGTTTGGCACTGAGCGAGTGGTGCGCGCTTTTTAGTGACCGAAGCCAGTCCACGTCACTCAGTTGCCTGTGTGGTACGAGCCTATCCTGTCTGTTGTTGAAGTTGTAGTTAGAGATGGACTGAGACAGAGTAAAAACTATGTGAGTATAAACTTGGTGTTGCGTTTATCTATGAATGTATGTGTGCCAGGATGACAGTAACAGAGATGTAGTAATTGCTTACAGTGGTCGTGCTCTGTCTAAAGCAGATATACTGAGAACAGGTTTTAATCCTGGACTTAAAAAATGTTAATTGTGTCAGAGCTTTTAATATGTGCCTGAACCTTGTCAATCAGAATAAACAAGGCGTGAGGAGGCATCCTCTATAACGTATGTAGAATCTGTCAGTGGTCTAGAATAACACGCGGCCTGCCTTTAGAATCCCCCACCAAATAAGCGCACGTGGAATAAAACATATTTGTATCTTTTTGTTTCAGAACATTGTTCACTTCACGGCTGTCCCTATTCTTAACCATAACGTTGCAATATTGTTGTACAAATGTGTTACACCGACTCACTCGGTTGTGTTCCCATGACGACAGTGGTCAGACTGGCCTGACATTTGTAAGGCTTCAGTGCAGTGTTTGTTTACATCACAGAAATATACAAAGTTATTTCATGGGGTATTTTGCTCGCTCTTATTTTTCACATAGAATAGGAAAGCCATCATTTTGGTTTCTCTACGATTGAGTTTAGCTATCCTACGTTGGTCATGAGAAACTAAGACTTTGAATCTTAACTTTACGATTGACTTGGGTAAGATTGGTTAGTGGAACGGTATGCCGATCGTAACGTCACGCTAAGATTGGGATTTTAGGGGTTTACGATTGGCATTGGGCTAAGATCTGTTAGTGGAACGGCACCCTGGTCTCTACACCGGTAGCTAGGGTTGTTACACTGGTTGTACCATCACAGGCCACGGCTGTCTTTCCCTTCAAGCAAGTGATGTAGGTCTGGGTGGCACTATGGACAAAGCAAAGTGATGACATCACTTCAGATGCAAGAGTAATTCATACTACGATGTAGTAACAAAGATTACCTTGTTAACAGATCCGTATATGTGAAGTTCGCATATACTCAAACGTGCAATTTTCATCAAACGTCCTCAAGATTATTCACGTAGAAGAAAGAAACAATATGGGAATCAGGGAAGATTGAACGTCACATTAAATATATTCCAGCATATTGTGAAGGATGCGATTAAAAAAATGGGTTTATATCTTAAAACCTGTAGACAATGAACATTAAAACATATAGAATGTCACAGATTTGTATTTAAAACTATCACGTAACCTTATCAAGATAACACAACATTCTAATATACAAAGAGGCTTTACATCGTTTACTTTACATGATGACGCAAGCGATCATGGATACAAGTACCCCAGCTCGGCTGGGTTTACATCATCCTGTCAGGTGTTGGCGAATACTGACAAGTTTAGCCAAACATTCAAAGAAAGCATGTTTATGATGAAAACACAGGAAGACATCTGTGGACCCAATACTGTTAACTACTTCAAGGTACAGGCACAGACAGTCTGTTTGCAAATAGTTATTTAGCAACACTATTTTTAGGGCATAAATAATATGGTAGAAGTTGGACAAATGGAGATTAAACAAATATAAGTTGCGATAACACAACAACGGCAAACAATATGTCCTACCGGTGGAATAGTGAAATTTAGTCAAACTATTTAAGATCGCAGAGGCATCTTTTTCAGCACCTTTTAGTAAAGTCTGTTCCTTTGACTGTGGAAATAGTGTGGACCTTTTATATTTCCAAAGTGAGCAGGCAGTGATTACAAGTGGAATGTTATGAGAAAGCTTACAGTTTATTTGCGTTTGTACTTCTTTTAAAATATGTATTATCTCACAACCTAATGCGTTGATAGGGATATTCATTACAAAGATAAAACATATTTTGTATTAGAGGTGATATAACATATGAATAATTCCGCTTTGACATTAAGCGAGTAAGCAACTTACCCAGAAGAATAACAACTGCTGCAACTTTCAACATGACTGTGAACATTAATGCACGATGTGGACGGAGACACTGCGCCAATTAACAACGCGTCCCTCTTTATGTAATGCCCGTCTCCATAGTACCCTAATGTTGTGTCACATGACCTGACAACAACTGACATTCAGTGTTGAGCATGTAAAATTAGAACATATTTTTTTAAATGAAAAACTTGATAGAATGCAGAGTCCGCAGTTTCGTTGTAAATGCCGTTTCCTATCAACCTGAGATCAACAATTGATCAAAAGGTGTGATCAAGGGTGTGCTGAAGACGATTCTAAATCTGAGCAAAGTATGATATCTTTTCGTCAGTAATCTTAGTATTAAATTGCATGTATTTTCTACAAGGATCAGCTTGTATATTGAACACATTGAAACAAAAGCACCAAATTTATTTCCATACTTAGCATAATATATTTCTTCCCAACCGAGAGATTTTTTCTCGATTCCGACTTTATCATGTTGAGCAATTGTTAACGAATCATTATAAACAAATTATGACGTTTATATGACGTGAAATTACGTTACATCGTAACATCTGTTAGTGACATTTCGAAATGTCCTTCACTTTGGCATGTTTGAGCTAAAATTTTACGATGCCCTTTGAAATGATGACGATAATTGTTTGTGAAGTTTGTTTTTGGCGTGTGTGCTTATATTTGCAGTGTGACCAACATTGGGCAATATATGCACAACCTATTGATGATTTACAATTTATCAACTTGCGTAGGGTTGACATTTGATTGTCCGCCATTCGGCCTGAAGAGCTACCACACTTGAGCTTGGTATCAGGCGTACATCCAGCGCCCCTGAACACCCCACATATAGTCTAGACGTGTTTAAGGCATCAATAAAACAATTACAATCATATTGTAAATACTCCTATTAAAAATAATTCAAGATATTTTATTTAATTCATGATATTTGGAATTCAGTTATACCTATGTACAAACGCATTAGAGATATTTTCAATTCAATCAGAAATATACTTAATATACTTTCCCAAAAAAGAAACGCATCATGAAAATAGCAATTTCATGAAGCAATGAATTAAACCGTGATTCATTTTGCAAAAGGTTTTGCTCTGTTTATGAGTCCTATGGTGTTTATATTTTGAAACATCACAACAAAACGCACCATCCGTAAAAATACCCGTATTTAACAGCATGATTTTCAATTTCGGCGTGTAGTGTCACAGAATACACAATTCACATGCAATGCACGTGAAAGTTGGGGATCAGATAGTCTCAATGATGGGTATAAAAGGTTGATCGCTGTCTGTCGATTATTCACTGTATTTGGAATATTGTTGACAAACGCAAAATGTCACGTCTAAAGTTTGCTTGAAGCTGGCCAGTCTCAACGTGCAGTTGCCCGACGCATGAATGTTCACCAAAGCACCATTTCACGGCTCTGGGAGAGATATCGCAGGCAGAATTCGGTAGCAGATGCCCCTCGTAGTGGGCGACCTCGAGCGACCACTGCGGCGCAGGATCGCTACATCCGGGTACATCACCTGCGTCATCTAACAGCTACGGCGACCAGTACCGCTCGACAAATGCCCGGATTGAAGAGGCTTTCTGCACAGACCGTCAGGAACAGGTTGAGAGAGTTTACGTGAAATAAGATTTTATTTTGGCCCTGTGCTTCGACAACAACATCGTCGACATCGAGTTCAATGGTGCACCAACCTTCAGGCCTGGAACCTACCGAATTGGCGTAGAATCCGGTTCAGTGAGGAATCACGATTTCTATTGGAACGACGCGATGGAAGAATGCGGGTGTACAGACGTCGACGTGAACGTGTCGCCGACGCTTGCGTTACCCACGTGGACAGATTCAGCTGGGACAGTGTTATGATGTGGGGAGAAATCACCTGCCGTAGGAGAAGTGATTAGGTGATGATCCAGGGCAACCTGACAGCTCAACGGTACTGTGGGAGTTGTCTCAACAGGACAATGTCAGGCCCCACACTGCACTTCACACTAGAGACTTCCTCCAGAACCACAACATCAATGTGCTCCCCTGGCCCTCAAGATCACCGGAATTAAACCAGATCGCACATCTGTGGGATGCCCTGGACAGACGGGTGCGACGCCGTAACCCTCAGCCCCAGACACTTCAGCAACTCGCACAGGCACTACAGGCAGAGTGGGCTGCGATTGGGCAACACGAGATTCTGAGACTTATTCGTTCGATGTCGAGGCGATGCCGTGCAGTTCTGGATGCCCACGGTGGTCACACGAGGTATTGACTTCAGCGCAACCACGAGTCTCCATGTGACACTCAAACTGACTTTCCTTGAGTTGGTGCCAAAGACGGATACGTCTGCATTCCCAGTGTGCAATTTCGCTATATTTCATTGACTCATAAAGCCTACAAGATGTTTCAAAATAAACAAAATAAAAATACAGTTGAAATTCCTATATGCGTTTCTTTTTTGGGAGAGTATACAGTTAAGCATATCTTCAATTTCTTAACGTTACAAGCATCACCAATAAACGATCACCATTATTAGCATATATGAACAGGAGACTATGAAAGAATGTTAAAATGTGCTCTAAAGCTCATAATGGTCAATGGCACGCGACAACACCACACACAAAGTTCGAGTATCATTACTGACTGAAACAAACACAAATACAAGATTATAACATGTAGCTTATTTGTCATATGGGATGATCAATAATGAAAGGTATGAATGATTGCCATATATAATTTTGTGTAAGCATGAATCTTACAAATGCTTGTTCTGTCTGAAGCACAGTTTCATGTAGGTTATATTCCGCCTGCTGTTATGAGCTGGTGAAATGATTAATCTTTGTTTTCAATTGCAGCTTTATGCCCATTATATATGTGACGCTGTCCTTTTAAGTACATGGCATATATTTCAGCAGTACTGTAAGATATGCTGTGACATGTCCTACGCCATGAAGGATACTCATGACACCTCTTGTTTCGAGCACAGATAAGAAGATAACTCCCACAACGATTCTCGTAAACTAGGAGTTTTTGTGACACGTTATTGTGTGTTCAGAGTATGAAATAGAAGAGTGATTGTCAAGAGACAAGGCTGGTGAAAGTTATAGTCCGCTTTTCTTCGATCGGGTATGATGAATTGCCAAATAACTTAAAATCCGAAATAATCTGAAAAATGTCATAACGTTATACAACAATTAAAACCATGTAGCCAAAAATATCTGTTATTTGTTGTACTGTGAATTCACTTTTCCCAAATTTGATTTAATTTCCAATTCATCGTTCTTATTTGTGGACAAACATTTTTCACATAGCCTATTTCAGAATGACTGAAGATTTGTATATTTTATCTGTCAGTAGGAATACTGAAAGTACAATTTTCATGTCACAGATAAGTCAATATGTTGCACTGCATTAACACGAACGTCACAGTAATAATGTTCCAGCTTTAGATAATCAGAGACTGACATCACCATTATCGTAGGTCAGTTCAAATCTGGATCTTCACGTGTAATTAGTAAGAAAACACCCATGTAACACATTCTCTGTTCGTGGACATCCTTAAACCGCAAGAGATCACACAAGACAAGGCTGTCAATAGTAAAACACATATATACTCAAAAAACGCATAGGTGTATTTTCACTACATCGACGGACCCGATGGTGAAATAACGTTCGATTCTGGATCTACAAAACTGGCGACGTGTATGGTTCAGTGACGAATCACGCTTTCTGCTTCTGTGCCGTGACTGAAGAGTACGTGTCTATATACGTCAAAATGAACTGGAGTGAGTTATTAAGATTAGACATGGCGATAGCACGTTTGTTTTAAACGACTGAACAATGTGTACATTTGTGCCTATAATTGATTCAATATGTTAGTATAAACTGAATCGTTTGGAATCGTCCTGTCACTTGGATTAACATCTGACAGGAAAGTGCACGTGTTACTCGTTTAAACCAAACGTGCCATCGCCATGTCTAATCTTAATAACTCACTATAGTTAGTCAATTTCATTTTTTAAGTATTTCGTTCTTTATTAGTAATAAAGCAATGCAAAATAGTCTCATTCGTTTTTAAAGACAATATCCGTTTGTCCAAACGACGTTCCTTCTTCATGGGCAGAGTTGTTGAGGTACCTCAAACCCACACGTGTCTTTAGTCCACGCAAGAAATTACGAAACTGGTAGCACTTGTGCGCAGCGTAGATATGTATAAAACCAAGTGTTAACACGCGCAATGCGCCGCGTTTTTTTGTGGTTGGAAATATGATTGAACATTGTGTTAAATGCTTGAAGGAAAACCAAGGACACCAGTAAGAGCTAACGTTTATCTAACCTTTTATTGAGAGCAAATAATTCAGGTGACACCAGCATGGCGTCCCGGGTCAGGAACAGGTCGTCGTTTCCTGTTTCGAACCGTTTATGATGTATCACTTGCCTTCTATGTCCTGTTAACGTAATATAATAGTGTGGTATTGTCACGGGTGGCATCGTGCTTGTTGTGTCGCTGTCTGTTACTGGAGGCGACAAGGCCAGTTACTAGAATGAATGAATGAATGAATTAATTTCCTCTAGATTTCAATCCGAAGATAATATACATATTTACATAAAATATTCACAACAACATATTCACAAGATAGGTACACACATGTACAGAGCAATGGCAAGGAAAGATCTAAAATACACACTTGAGTGAGGATACCATGAGTGAGGATACCATGGAATACAGGTATTTACAAAACAGGACAATCATGACATTTCATCTATTTGCTCAATAACCGTTATTTCACCTCCGGAAAAAAAGAGACAGCACTTATAGTTTGGAAAAGAACTGATTTCTGTGGTAAATAATGTTCACAATGTAGAATTACATGGCAGGCATAGTCATTACAGTGTCTTTCACAGAGCTTACAATATTTTGAAACTTTTGCTCGAGAATTGATTCGTACACAACATTGTAAGATGTCTCTATATTGTAGATAAGCATACATCAAACAATAAAACATTGTAGTCTATGTACACCAAACGCACAGTGGGTTAGGCGGTATCCGGACATATCCTGTCTCACACAGACTTGAGTAACCCATCGTACAGTTTCAGTTTCATTAACACAGTTATTAACTATTTCAAGCCATGAGGATTTACATAGAAACTTCCCAATTTCAAGATGGTCACTGTTTAAGATGTCTTGTAGAAGCGTGTCAGATATACTGTGGCGCCGTGGTTTTATTTTGAAATGTGGCTTATTTGTCTACATTTATGTACATAGCCATCCATACTCCACATACTGGCAAAATATATGCGTGCTTTAGACCAATTCATAGTCTCTACCATGCAGAATAGGTAAACGTTCACACCCATGGAAACGTGTGTGGAGTACCATCCTCCTCCATAGTTCTACAGAGGAGGATGGATGGAGATCTGTACTGTTTAACCCGAGATTACCTATGGAGTTTGCAGATTGTCGTGGTTTTTGACAATATGCCAACAGTCTAGATTTGGAGGATAAATCAGAGGAAAGCATGATACCTCAATAGTTGACACTATCACTTATAGCAATATCTGTTTCGCCAAATTTGAAAGAATAATCACCTTGGCCTTTCTTAGAATTTACGGAACATAATTCAAGTACTCTCTGAACCGTTATATGTAAGCAGCCACTTTCAAGCATAGCTATACCCAGTGTCAAGTGACGACTGCAGACCTTTAAGAGAAGTAGAAGTGTAGTGTCATCAGCCAATGAAGTACAGAGGGTATCAATACCGTATATGCGAATACCATTGTTTAAGGTTCTAACTTTACATATTAAATCATTGATAAAGAGTAGAAAGAAACAGTAGGACAAGACCCTTCCTTGTCCGACACGCTGTTGTATACCATATTCATTTGATTTTAAGCCACAATATTAAGTTTTGGTATAGGAGCTGCCACATGGTGCCTTTTATACCCATTTCAGATAACTTTAAGAAGATCTTTTTTCGCAAATATAAGTAATAAATGAAGTTGATAAATTGTTAATTTGAAGATTCGAGAAAGTTGTTAACATCATTAAGCAGCAGCATTTTAGTAGTGAGTGAGTTTTAGTTTTTGCCGTTTTCAGAAATATTCCAGCAATATGACGGCAGGGGCACACCAGAAATGGGCTTCACACATTGTTCACATGTGGGGAATAGAACCGTGTCTTTGACGTGACGAACAATTTAGTAACCGTCCCAACAATTTAGTAACAAAAACAATTTTGTGGACTGAAAGGCAGATCACTCATTTACTGGAATTTACTATGCAATATCAACTAACTGTCAAAATTTCATTTCATTCATTCAATCCCGATAATAAATTGTAAAAATAGACTGATCACCTGCCTTGATATTAGTCATGAAGCAGCTACATTAATTCTGATTAACCTGTTACTGATGACTTGTGATGCAATAGGACTAACTCTCTGTGATGTTGTAAATGTAGACCACCACAACAACATTAAATTCACCACGAGATTTAAGATAAAGAGCATGGTTTACAATGAAAATATGCCACTGCAGTTGGACAATCTTATCTCACGTAATAACCTCAGCGGAGACATAATTTACAGTCAACATTACACAGGGACAAAGTTGTCGAGATTTATGATCCAAGTGAAGGTGTTTTAAGACTAAATGTGAGACTGCTATGTCCAGTGTACTGTCTGTGCGACAGAAAAAGGATCTGTTGAGATTATTTACACCCTGTGTAAAAAGACAATGCAGCATGTATCTTAACCACCGTGAAGATAGTTTCGTGGGACAGCGAATGTGAGGGTTTTATTACTGTGTGCCTGCTTTCAAAGAAGCTGTGTAATTGCCTTTCCCCTAAGAGATCAAAACAGTTAAACTGCACGAACTAACCTGGTGCTTAAAGAAACTGCGCGTATCCAGGAAGATCAAGTACTGGGACAGAGAATACGATGGGCTTATTACTGTGTGCCGGCTTTGAAAGGAGGTGAGTTAGTGGAGTTAGCTTTTCCCCCTCAAGAGTAACTCCGTTACACCGCACTAACCACCCTTGTACATGTACTTGAAGAAACTGCACGTATGCAGGAAGGGATAAGCTACACTTTACACACTCGTGCAGGTAAAACAGACAAGAAAGTAAATAGGCACACCATTGCTTTATTATAAAATAGAGAATACATACGTCTTAGAATGATGTCCCGTGTGTATTAAATGTAAATAAGCAATACAATAGTGGCATTAAATATATATTTGGTGATAAATAGGGCTGGTAAGTAGGTCACTACTTCCGGTGACAAACAACGTTTCATACCTTTTTGAATGGTCTCATGGTTGTCAGTTGACCATAAGGAACCGATAATCATTGAAGGAATAATAATAGTTCAATCCAAACATCCCCAAATTAGCCAACTATTACGACTGTCAACATCTGTGACAGCCAAACATGGTTGTACACTTGCTGGGTTCGAACCACAAATCGCTTAGTGTAAAAGTCATGAAGCTCATTTCTGGTGTTCTCTTTCATGATATGTTCAAACTTTCCATGAATACGTTTCACTCATTTAAAGCGTGTGTATCGGACCAGTTGCATTTAAACGTCAGTCAGTTTCAGTCATTCCTTTTTTGTATTTGTTGTTATGTCGTTTTAGCAACTGCCTTCTTCCAAGCAGTCTGTGAATTTGGAAGATCTGATATCTATGTGCGCAGTGTGTTTACTAACGATGTAGTTCCTAGATAGATCACTTTAGTATGGTAATTTGTTTAAACTGAAGGCCAACAGGAACCTATCACTGTATAAAGGAAATTGTCAAAGTTCAATCTAAAACACATCGTCAGGCACCTCATATTGCCAAACAGGACAATGCCCTATGCAAACTGGAGATATGTCTACCGCACGGAAAATGTGATGTAATGTCCTGACAACGCGGGTGCGCCCTGGGTATGATACAAATGGGAGGCACCCATGACCACTTGTTGCTCCTGTGGCGCGGTAAAAAAAAAACAACCCTGATACAAGTTTACACACATACCTGGCAGGCATCGGATAGACTAAGAACGGTTAGATACAGGGTAACTATGTTCTCTGGAAACTACATGTAGTAATTGCGAACATCCCTTGAAACAATTCCTGTTAGTGACGTCATCAGTGACGAATGCCTCGGGTAACATAGTTGGTCCAAAGGCAGTGGCCTGTCGACTCAGGGCTAAGAGAATGAATACTTACAGACGTTACAGTTATTGACAGTACAACATCGTCGTCATAGATTGAGATGGTCCCGGACTGCATGTCGTTTGTCCGAGTGACGTTTCGTCTTCACTGATGAAAACAATTAATGTCTGCTCAGAGCTGATGGAAGTGTTATCTCCCAAAACTTCCACATGCCAAAACCTCTACAAAAAGTCAAGGCAGAATTATGCACGTACCTATGGGTATAATGGAACAGCCCAGAGGTGGGGTAATAGAGGGAGTAGTTGGGAGTAGAGGATTAAAACAGGTTCAGTAACAACTTGTTATTTATTAAGTAAGATGAAAGAGTTGTATGTGTGTGTATACAGTAACAACATGCTCCAAGCTCACCAATTCAGTGGAGTGGTAATTTTAAACTTTTAATATTAATTAACTAATAGAAACTTCATCCCACATGTGAAGTCCACACGCACCAACAGACTCAGCACCAACAACAACTTAGAGGCATTCCACAGCAGAATCATCCAGACCTTACCCCATCGCCATCCAAATATCTTTAGATTCACTGAAGTGATTAAGAAGATTGAGGCTGCAGACACGGCAAAGATTGCTCAACTTGAATTTGGAGCAGCCCCCACTCACAAGAAAGCGTGTCTACAGGGAGACATAAAATCGACTGATGAGTCTGAAGGACAAGCTGCTCACCAGGCAGGAAACACCACTGGACTTTCTAGATGCTGCTGGACACCACCTAAAACTTGACTAATGACATTAGAAGAATCAGACATTATGTTGTGACATTTCAAATTCAAATCAGTGCTGACGTTATTATATCTGTTTTGTTACTTCAAGTTCCTTTCAAACACTTGAAATTTCAGGTTTTTCAAAGAAACTTGAAGCAACGAGAAATCAATTGAAGTAACGAGAAAATACTCCAAAATCTTGAAGTAATGAGAATATACTCGAAGCAACGAAAACATAATTGAAATAACGAGCAAATAATTGGAATAACGAGAAGATACACTCAAGCTCTATCCAGATATTCGAAACAACGAAAAAGGTCGCTTAACAAATATTGCATGCTACAAAATTGGCGGCATTAGCGTTTCCTAGACGACAGGGGTCTACCACGCAGAAATGAACTCCTGGAGTGGGTGAAACGTATCTTGGTCGCTGCATTGCCTGTCAGGTCCCTTACTATCGTGGAAAATGCACCATATCACAGGGTGCGGATATGTCACCTTCCAGGGCTACATAAATACAACTCTAAGAAATCTTCACAACTACCAAACTTGCACCCGCGAATAAGCTCAATCGTTACATCAAAGGAAAAGGTCACGGTGTCTTTGACTTCCCCCTTACCATTGCGATCTGAATTCATTGGGTCCCCAAGATGACGTGATGTTTGACGAACGCACATAAAAAGATGATGTTCAGATGCTGGTAAATTACTGCCCTGGCAGAGCTGTTATCCAGTATTCTAGAAGATATTATCCTGGTTCCAATATCCTGGGATCCATCTGTAAATATGGATTTGCATGTATTATATTTACTTCTTAATTGATCATATTCTTGCCTATAATGCAATTTGTTTGTGTCTGAATTTTTTAATATGGATAGTGTTAGATCTACGTGTGGACTCACTAATTGCCAAGGAGGAGAGGAAAGCAGGCGAGAAGGAGATATATCTTGTAGCATAATGTAAGCGGCATGAAGGAATGCTATTCTTATTTTCACAGGCAGAATGAGAGAAGACAAGAGTCTTGATGCTGGTCACATGTTAGACCTCCGCTAGCAGTTGCACCATCAGAAATGGCGCAAGTACGTCGAGGTCTGGGACATGAGTGCGTAAAATTGTGACTAAAAGTATCACGAGATCCCTCTTATACCGTCTTTCAAAGTACGGTGATTATTCGATATTTTACTATATCAGTTCCTTTTGAAGACCAGCGGACTGCAGAAACACAATCAAATCGATCAATGACGTGCTTAATAGGTTCCGTTTGATAACATCCATGAGAAAGGTATATGTCGACATGTCGGTGGTTTTAAACAGTACGGGAACCTGTCTTAGAGATTGAGTGATTTTACGACGCATTGACAATCAAATGGGCGTGTGAAACGGCCTTAAACGTTCTGATATGTTTGCTTCATGATAATGGGTTTAACTGAAAACGCTGTGGCATGATGCTATGTTTTCTGATTATATACATATATATTTGGAACCTTACTGACTGCAGCCTTGACCAATTATCACCGACTCAGTGACACATACCACTGCTCATGTAAAAACAGGTATGTCGGATGGTGTCAATAATTTTGTTTATTCTTGTGTTATTGAATTGAACGAATGACGTGAAGATGCTTCATGGGCGTATGAACATCATACACTGGAGCACGTGAAGTGATAATTGTACTAGTGCACAATTTTAGATTACATTTTTATGAATACCATCATATCACATTCCATTGCATGTAAAGGTAGAATTTTAGTGTTAATGTAGCATCTCAACGAAAAGGCATTGGCTGATTCGCCCACCTTTCTTTTTATCATTGTATTTAGAGGGATACACAAAGTGCTTGGTCAGACTTCCATTGTGTGGGTTATATAGTTGACTCTTACTGCTGGCGATTAGATGAGGTATCTAAGCTTATGGGTGTAGGTTCAAATTTAGATGCGGATCAGTAACCACAAAAAAACGATTATGCCATTTTGACCGGAAGAAAATCTCTCTCTCTCTCTCTCTCTCTCTCTCTCTCTCTCTCTCTCTCTCTCTCTCTCTCTCTCTCTCTCTTCTCTCTCTCTCTCTCTCTCTCTCTCTCTCTCTCTCTCTCTCTCTCATGCAACAGAAGTTGAACACTCAAGCGTGTATAAATAATTAAAACAACAAAACTATAGGTTACGCCTACTTGGACTGGGGAGGTACTTTGAAGAGGTAATCATAAGACGGTGCCGTGTTGGCCATTCAAATGATTATCCATTAAAAGGTGAGGATCCTCCATTCTGTATCCCTTGTGATAAACGAATCATGGTTGAGCATGTTCTGCTTGACTGTATTGATTTTTCCATAATCTCACCACAGGGATGATACTTATTTACCATCAAGTCTTCTATATTAATATCACCCGTGAAGGTCCGGGTCAGAATTGATCTTCAGTAACCCATGCATGTCGTAAGAGGCGTCTAACGGGATCGGGTGATCACCGGTTCCCAAATGCGCAGATCGATGTTCATGATGTTGATCCCTGGATTGTCTCGTCCAGACTCAATTATTTACAGACCGCCGCCATATAGTTTGGATATCACTGAGTGCGGCGTAAAACTTAACTCACTCATTCACTATATTAATTTCATCATATATGCAGGATCTTTTCCTGATATCAATTCTCATTTAATACTTAGGGCAATACCTTTAAAGGGGGTTGAAGAAGTGTAAAACAGTTGTTTCCCCGAGAGGGTATGTAAGTCCCATTCGATTCAACGTAAATCGGAGAATATATGTACTTTTATTGTTTGGCTATTTTTGGCAAAACTCGCCTACAACTGGAACGATGGTTTAAATCCAACAAGGGTCCATGCAGAAGCAAAAGTACTCAGTCAGTAATTCCCCATGATCCCTTGTATGGTGATCTACCTTCAGTTGCTATAGCCCGTTTTCATATTGTATTGATCTAATTAGTAGTGTCATTTAAAAATTGCATTAATGTTTAAATTTCTAATTTTGATAATTTTGATAATTATTTTACTGTCCTTCGTCGACATATTTTTCATATAACTGATATTTGCCGAAATATTGCCGATGTTACTATAAATCTTACCTCACTCACTCACTTCCAAATTCGTAAGGTGTACATGTGAAGTACAATACAATTCGATTCTTTGTTCTGAATGTATGTTTGTATCACAATATAGAGCAAATCGAGGTTTGGTTATTATTTGGTCACCTGAAAATATGTTTTCAGGTCCTCCAACACAAGAAACTGTGGTTGAGGTGAACATTTTCAGAATGTAGGGAAATGCGACGTGGTTCTTTGCCAATAATGAATACAAAATGTGTCATTGTATGAAAATCCTAAAGAAAAATATGAATAAAATTAAATATGTTCCATTCACAATAGCGGCAACAGAAATGTGTAATGAATCATTCCATTGCAATTAAATAAAGACAAAGCAAAACGGGTTAAGTGACGTGAAAGGTGGTTCAGTTACAGCCTTACAATTATCTGACTTTTGACTCTAAGTTTTCAATAACTTTATATTTTAAGACAAATGAGTAAAACTAGTTGTTTGCGAATTATTCGTTTTCCATATGAACATAAACAGATAAGATTATTACTGGATACCATTCATTTTCCTCTTTGTGATATGTTAAATACAAGTAGAAATCATGTACCACCTTCTATATAATTCTGTAAAAGGGGTTATCAAGACACTCCTGTGATTATGACCGGTCTCGCGTTATGGTATTCCAGATTTCAGCCGAGGAATACATTGAGACTCTTTAACTAAGGAATCTTAATTTTATACCCCTGGATCACAGTCATAAACAGACGGACATTAGTAAGCTCTTTTGCTCTGAAAACGTTCTTTGCACGTGATTTCTCGGTCTTGTAATGACAGATGGATGAGTAAGCCACAATGGATACGTGTAGATCAGTGGTTGAGTCAAGGTTTCAATATCGCGTATAATACGTATAGTCAATCACATCCAATCATTAATCTAGTTTATGTCTATGTGGTCCCAGTAACATAACACCATGTGGATAGACACACTTTGCGATCACTGTACACATGTACATACACCTAAAATATCGATAGTATGCTGATCATTTTATCCGGCACGTGTGACTCAGTTCTGTACCTTGGGCCAACCGGAAAACTATGACCGTTGGTTGAAATATATGCCTGACTGTTTTCGGTTTGTCAACACTAATAATATTATCGTGGGTTTTACCAAAGCGGTCGAAGTCTGCATCACTTCAGGCTTTCCTCTCCCATAAAGTTGACACTCCATGATGTAACCGGAATACTGTCTCAAGCAGCTTTGGTCCATATTTATTTGCTCACATCATCTTTGTATTATTATCATAACGAAAAACAAAATATGCAAATAAAATTTCATTAGTCGAAAAACGTATTGACATGATCACAACCTGTTTGTCAGTAAAAACTTACGTCATACAGAGCGATCACGTAAATAGTGAATGTTTTGATATTGCATGGGCAGATGATTACATGGATCAACCCAGGTGTCGATGCATGATTAACTGGGATAGAATATACAAACAGGAGGGATGAAAGTAGATTTCATATCATTCATTGGTAATCAAATACTGAGGAAAGACACTTCAGATCTTGAAAAAGTTAATTATATATTTCACAGACTAACTGGAATAAAAACCTAGAAACAGCAGCGATGAAAGTAAATTCAGCAGTATCTAATATCATCATATGCTGTAGAGAGAAGGACACTTCAGGTGTGAAAAAAAGGATAACATGATATTCGCAAACCAAAGCAACACATCTTGACACATGTTGACATCTTGCTACAGGAACATGCTTGCAACGACTGATACGATCAGTGACGTCAGAGCAAAGGTCACGTGTTCACCTCCACCTGCAAAGAAACAAATGTCACAAATGTTCCGTTCGTTGATGTGATCTTTCTATGGAAATGTATCGACCAGACAACCTAACCTGATCAACATAGTGTAACATTGTATTTTTAAAAGAGAAACAACTTAGTGACAATATATTCAGAACTCGATCCACAGGTTTATGTAGATGTATTTATGATATCAATTAGATGAATTAACCTCACAATGCTAAATGTGTGCTGAGTATACAATTAATATAATACTGTAGAATCCACTGTGTATCATGCATTGGTCCATCTGATTCTGAGTAGGTATGTCAACGTGATTGTCATGCTTTGCTCAAGGGTCCCTTCCATTGTGGACTCTCTGTTTTACCATACATGTAAGCTTTAGGTCACAAACGTGTTTGTTTGAAACGGGTGTGTCGTTTCCGCTACTACTTACACTTGGCGGCAGTTATCTTGGTATTTGTGTCAGTAAGAAGAGCTGCTTGGGTGAGGGTGGTACACCCAATTTCGGTAGTGGTGGTGATGGCAGAGAGACAAGTCCTTAGATTAGTCAGGACACTGTTGCAAAAACATAAATATATATATACAGGTGCGAATAATGTCCACAACCCCTTGAAAATGAGAACAGAAAGCATTGGGTATGAAAATACTTAAAAGCAGATTGATATTCCAGACACTATTGTACATGTACCACAATAGATTTCCCCAGTCGTTTGAATCAACTTCTCAGTGTCCCTACGATGGTTAAAGTAACCACAGCTCGTGTACATAACTTACTCTTAAAATATTCTCTGATCCGTCTCAATATGTGAGGCCAAGTTAGCTTGAAATGTGGTTTGGAGATATATCGATCATAATATTTCAGCATTTCAGCCTGATTAATTACTCACGTGCACTTCAGGGCATCGATGGAGATGTCTGCTTTGGCTGAATTAATCTCACACTGGCAGGCGGTGGTGACAGCTGAAACCACAGGTAAGTGTTTCAATCAGTACATACTGATAAAGCAAGTGCAAAGTGTTATATAAAGAACCTCTTATACATTGGTTATGGACACAACTTCAATGTTATTGAAAATACAGTGGCACATCATCTGCAGAGTATCTCGTTTGCATATGTTGCTTTTTCTCAGACAAAAGTGAGCCTCCACAACACAATAAAGCAACACAATGGGCAAAGTCAACTATAATATAATTCTAATAAAAGGACTAAGGCTTACTACAGGCTGGAGTGTCGAGTGCTTTCATCCTGGTCTCTACACCGGTAGCTAGGGTTGTTACACTGGTTGTACCATCACAGGCCAGGGCTGTCTTTTCCTTCAAGCAAGTGATGTAGGTCTGAGTGGCACTATGGACAACAAACAGAGATGACATCTCTATAGATGACAATGCAAAGTACAACGTTACCAGTAAGACATAGCTGGAAGTGTTATGAATCCAGCAAACGTGTCAATAGAGTGTTGTGTTTAAGAGACGTATTAATGGATGCACGTAAGTTCCAGATCGAACGAATAGTAACGTATGATGTTAACATTAATGGACTCAAAACATACCATACCTAGCTATGAGGGCACACAACGGATATACAGTATATTTAGTTAAAGATAATGGGATTTGCGATAGTTATGACAACGAATGTACCCATTGGTATTCAAATAAACATATAACGATACGGGTAAGCAACCGATGCTAGGGTGGATCGGGTTGTCAGTCTCGCTGACTTGGTTGAAACGTGACATCGTATCTCAGTTGCGTAGACTGATACTCATGATGTTGATCACTGGATTGTCTGGTCAAGACTCCGTCATTTACAGACCACTGCCATGCAGCTTGAATAGTGTTGTGTGTGGCGTTAAACAACAAACAAACAATGGTATTCAAATATACTCATGAAAACGAATAAAGGAACACATGCAAGTGCAAATGTTCCAATACTCTTTTCCGAGATTCTTGTCAGTCTTTATATTGCACTGTGGATGAAAATTTGGAAATAAGTAAATGAACACTTGTATTTTCATGTTTTCCTTTCATGTTAACTTTCTTACACATACTATTTGCTGTTATGCCACACAGTGGAGGCTTTCGTGTAGTATTCGCCATTCCTGCCCCATCCTAAAAATACATATTTCCAATGATGGATTCCTTTGTTTACACCTTTATCAAATACTAGTACTAGTACTATTTATTACGTGCAAGTATCTGCTTCCTGAGCTGCGCTCTGGTCAGTTTTCCAGAATTCCTTCTGACAAATACAGGTGTCCGTAAATGCTGCAAGTAAACAGGCAAAGAAAAGTGCAGATAAATTTAATTGAGCATGAAATGCCAAGTTTATGTGCTCTTACACGTATCTCAAGGATAAGCATTTCCTAAGATATATGTTAGCATTATTACTCTGAAATCTGTCCATTATGCACCCAATTCACTTATTTCACGACTTTGGGGAACACATTCGATAACAATCATCTTTCTTATAGAGTATAACATATTACACTATTTATCGTCATATTACCTTTCCGCATGTACCTATTTCCACCACCATATGCAACATACAATATGTACGTGATCATCCATCTATTTACATGATATCGTCCATGTTCCAACAATTCATTTCAGTGTATACCCACCCAAAATCATTTGTCTTTTCAAAATACGCAGGTTTAACACATCTTGCTCATCGAACTCTAATTAGTTTCGTGTTGTTCCTTTGCCCAAAATTTGTAATTTGTTAAAGTCACGATATGGCTGAAACATTGCCGATGTGACTCACTCACTCACCCACTCTTTGCCCAATACAACAAACACTCATCTCAATTATTACGGTAAATTACAATGAAGAACCATGCTCCTAACGCACTTTGGATGACACAGCAATATTCAGAGACCCCTGGAAAATGTCAACTAATCCCTGACATCGCAGATCTCTCAAATATATGTTAAACTCAGATTTCAACATACATGTACTGCAAGTATCCCCTGTATAATCTGTCTCTATGGTCGCGGCGTCAGCAGTTGCCGGAGGACACCCGGCGTCACCTTTCCCCGAGGTCTCCAGACAGGTCAGGTACGTCTTCAGTGCTCTGAAAAGATAAACAGTGACTTCGTCTGAACATCTCACATCTCAAACCACAGATGTACGAATTTATGTTTATGTATTTCGCTACATGAGTGCACTACTGCAAATAGAATGTATTTGTGCATTCACATACGTCACAAATAAAATTTCTGTTTCTTTGTAGTGGAATGCCTAAAAAAGTGCTTTTCAGCATCTATTAATGATATTTCGCGCGGATTGTTGTAACGAATGATTTGTATTTAAAGGATATATACGCATGTATACATATATACATCATATCAGCTGGTCATTATTGTCAAGTGCTGAAATGTATCCTCTGCAAACAAGATGTCTTGTAAAATGACTTACGCGCATTTTGCTCCGGCGGCCGGTGTACCGTATGTAGTTTTACAAGTGTCACAGGTTTCTGCCTAAGCTGATGGACAGTAAACTGAAAAAAACTAAGCATTTTAAGAAACATGTATTTCTGATGCACGTGATCAATTTCTTAATATGTTTATATCATATCTCACTGAAGACCTCATCCCACTGCTTTCTCATTTCAAGGCTGCACTACTGCAATTCAGTTTTCTTTGGTCTCCCTCTTGACGAGATCGCTCGTCTCAAGCGAGTACAGCACAGTGCAGCTCGTCTTATGGTGAAGAGACGGAAGCACACTCATGCGACTCCCATGCTGCAGCTTCTACATTGGTTGCCTATCACACTCCGGTGCAAATACAAGATTCCAACACTTGTCCTTTCGGAGATATTTTCGCTGTATAAATGCTATCCATTACTATTATTATTATCAATGAAGTAGACACGGTATATTGATAATGAATTCGCTCACTGTAATTGCAATGTTTCGATTATTAATTAACAATTAACAATCTTTCAACCAGACTTCAAGCTGGTAGTCATAATGACATAACATTGACGACATGAGGCACCACTGCATTTCTCGCCTTTGTCATTCAGCCACCAAACATCTCTCTCACTATCAGTATGTGTCAATGTGTGCGTGCGTGTGTGCGAGCGAGCGTGCGTGAATGAATACAGTTCGCTCTATTCCCAAACGTTCAACTTTCAGATATCCGTTCAGAGTAAACATCTTCCCTTTATCATTATAAAGACGCATTTGATTAAATTAAACCACATGGGGCAATGTGAACGCCGCGTGTTTACCAATACAAGGTTATATCAGTACATCTTGGCCTCTTGACCAAACGATTTCAAGATATCTTCAAATACTTCTGGTTCGGAAAATGGCAGTGACCATATACAACTCGTACTAGCCGAGAGCCTCGATGCGGTCCTATTTGGTCATCCTTAGCTGTGTACTCAAATGTGCAATTTTCAACCACAGTTTGGGTTTGGATGATAATCGACTCTGGGGACAGTGATCAACAAGCATCGACATATCAACCAAGTCAGCGAGCCTGACCATCCGATCCCGTTAGTCGCCTCTTACGACAAGCATGGTTTGCTGAAAACCAATTCTAACCCGGATCTTCGCCTGTTTTCAACAAACGACCCCAAGATTCCTCGCATAGTAGAACTAGAATAATATGTGAATCAGATGTTATGTATCCATTAAGGACAGGTGCTAGGTATTCATTCATGAGTGCAGGAGTTACGATTGAACATCACATCAAGAAAATTCCCGCATATCGTGAAGGATACAATTTATAAATTAAAATAATGTTTAAAGCATAAAAACCTGAAGAACATGAACAATAAAATATCACATATTTGTATTTAGTTCAAGCATGTAATCATTATAATATAACATTAGACGCAAAATTCCAATATACAAAGGGGTTTTACGTCGAATAAAGGTTGTTGATCACACAGGGGTCTCACAATACTTGTCCTCCTGAGAGGGTACGCAAGTCCCAAAACTTTCAAAGTAAATTTTCAAGGACTTTCAAGGTCAAGCTCTACCAATCGTTCAATCGTAGTATATTTGTTGTTATAAATGATGGCTAAAATTGAATACAGTCACCAGCGGTTGAATGGATGGTGTAAATCCAGCTAGGGTCAATGCTGGTAGCAAAAGCACTGCAAGTCCCCATGGCACTAGTATGATGATCAACTTTCAGTATCAGGCGATACTCAGACCGTTTTCATTAAAAATATTGTATTATCCTCATTGATATCAAATTTTAGAGATAGATGCTTGTTTTAATTCTTGTTTCTGTGATATTCTAGTTGTTTCTACTGTTCTTCGTTGATGGATTTTAAAAATGTGAAATTTGTTTGTCATGAATTTGTAACTAATTTTAGTCACGATATGGATGAAATACTGCCAATGTGACTCTAAACTATAACTCACTCACTCACTCGAAGATACAACCACTAACAATCAAATTTCAAATTGATGGTACAAATTATAAACATGTCCGTGTTACGTCCAGAACTACATCAATTAATGCTATTATAAAGGCAGGTTAGGTTTATATTTAGCGACATGTATGGTATAAATGACTGGAAGAAGTTGGTCATGGGGACATTAAAAATCCTTGTATAACCACGTCCATATATTGTATGTTTTATCATAACTTAACCATGAATCGTGTCTGCCTACAATATAAAACGTAACGTTTGTTTTGTAATTCTTTCAACACCAATAGATAGAATAAAGTGAGTGAGTGAGTCACATCGGCAATATGTCAGTGATATTGTGACTTAAAACGTTATAAATTAGCAATAAACACAATTACATTAAAAAAAACTGTCGACAAAGGACAGTAAAATAAGTACATGATCACAGTTAGAGAATTGAAATTAGCAATAAACTTTTAAAATTTTACAAATCGTACAGACAATACTTTATGAAAAAGGACTAGAGTTTACCAAAAATTGAAAGTAGATCACCATGCAAGGGACCATGGGGACATCCCTTTAAGCCGTTGGTGATGATAGGTAAATTTAAACATACCTGAACATCGGAAAATGCTGCGTTTACTTTCACTGGTAAGCTTAGTTTACCATGAATGTTTTGGGACTTACCTACCCCCACAGGACAATACTTTTACCGTACTTCAACCCCCTGTGAGGATACAGCCACTAACAATCACAGTTGCTCAATTAAACTGCCAAAGATAAAATACTTATCTATTTACAAATAATTTATTAAAATTTATGTAACAACTCTATTTCTTTTAAAAATGCAATAATTAAATGATAAATAACATTTAAAATATCCTTAACTGTTTTATCATATATAAAATATAAAACACATGGGATTCGATATGAAAACAAGGACAAAGTCAGAATCGTTCAGTGGACGCTTCTTTTTGTCAAATAATTTACACTGACTGTTGAAATGGTCTGGTCGTTTGTTTAAAGTAATTGTAAAGTCACAAGTGAGCAGGCAATGATGACGAGAAGGAATGTTACAAGAAAATTCTTTTTTTTTAACTTATTATAAAATATATAACGATTCATAACTAAAACCTTTTGGCAAGGAAAATAATGTATTGGATATTCATTACATAAATTAAAACAAACAAACAAACTTTGTGTTGTATTTTGAGGTGATATAATATGAATAATTCCGTTTTGACATCGAGCTAGTAAATGACTTACCCAGAAGAAGAACGACCGCTGCAACCTGAAACATGACTGGAAACGCTAATGCACGATGTGGACGGAGACACTACACCGGAGAGCAACGCGTCCCTCTTTATGTAATGCCCGTCACCATAGTACCCTAATGTTGTGTCACATGTCTTGACAATGACTGACTTCCAATGTTGTCCACGTAAACATTAAAAATGTTTGTAACATCAATATCTGGTGTGGTATGTAGTGTCCGCAATGTAGCTGTGCATGCCGTTTCCCATAAACCTGAGACCTACAATTGATCAAATACGGAGGGTTCGCTGAGTTTCATCTACTCAATGCTAATGAGTAATCTTATCATTGAATAAGGTGGGTTTTTTTAAAACAAAGGATCATCTTGCATGTTCAATACATTCAAATAAAAGCAACTCATGTAATGTGTGCATGGATTTGTCATAGCAATGGATAAATAATACAAGTTGTTTTCTAATAAGTGAAATGATCCTAACCCACTTGTCAAAAATTGCTTATCGCCAACAAATGGTAAAAGACAAACTTGAGAATGGCACTAATCGTAATTATTTTCACAAACGGGTGAAATGTGGAGTGAGCGAGTGGATGAGTTGGATATGACACCGTTTTTAGCAATATTCCAGCAATATCACGGCGGGGGACACAAGAAATATGCTTCACCCATAGTACCTGTGTGAGGAATCGAACCCGGGCCTTTGGCGTGACGAGCGAACGCTACAACCACTCGGCTACCCCACCGCCCCTTGTAAAATTAGAAATGTATTTGACTTGTCTTTTGAACAAAAATGCATGATAACATTTACTTTATATTTTTTTTCTGCAAAATCTTGCTGCACGTAGATCAGCAGTTGTTAACTTAAGACATCAAATGATAAAGATGCTGGAATGTGCTCGACATGATTTACTAGGAACAATACTGAAGGAACTAACGAACTGGTATTGAAGGTGCAGTGACAATAATTATCTTTAAAACTACTTTTTGGCTTGTGTGTCCATATCTGGTATGTGCCAAGTGTTGGGCGATAAATCCACGGCCCTTGATGCAATACACTTCATTACCTTACGTGTGCTTGAATTGCCCACCATTCTGCCTGAAGAGCTACCCGAAGCTTGGCAAAGATGGCGGATGCTGGTTCTTATGCATACATTCACAAATGCTCAATGTGTGTCCTGTTTGGAGGTCAATCCTCATATAAGTATGCTTGGTCGTCGGAGATAATCGACTACATTCTGTGGACAATGTTGTCTGCAGTTGTTGTCTGCAGTCTGCAATTGCAATTGTCTTCTGATCATTCTAGCGAATGGAACAACGACAAATACCAAAAGTCGTCTATGTTTGCTTGCTAGTTAACTCTCCATATAGAATAACCGAATTGTGTAGGAAAACTGTATACTTGCTTGTTTTCACATGTGCACAATAACATTCTGTTATGAAGAGCCTACACTTTTATCAAACAAAGCCACAATATGTTACTTGGCATATACCACCCATTGACACAAAGGTTAATATACAAACCAAACTTGATCACATAATATCTTTAATGTGCAGATGCATATGTACCGTTTCATCTTGCAACAGCTTCGCTCCGCACTCAGCAATATTCCAGCTTTAGTGCAACGGTCTGTACATACTGGACCAAACAATCCAGTGATCAACAGCATCAACATCGTTCTACGCAGATGGAATACGATGACATGTGTCCGCGAGCCGCCTCTTGTGACAAACATGGGTTGCCGAAGATTAATTCTATCCCGTATCATCACGGGTAGCTGCTTTTAGCTGTACATCGGTGACACTAGTTCGTGTGAACTTGAAGTAGTAGGGAAAATATATAACGTGCGTAATGACACTGTGATTTCAGACACATGGATAATTCTGTCGCCATGTGACTATAAACGATGACATGGTATGTTTTGTTGATCGTGCTAATGGATTATTTTAAAATGGCCGGCGTTGTTATGCAATTGCCATGCACACCCGTCCTACATGTTTCTCCTTGGTAAACAGAGGTACGACAATCGAGAGGAAAAGTTGCGAGTTGAATGGATTATGCCAACGACAGCTTTAGTGCGCATATGCCTACCTTTGAAGACATAATGTTCTTTTTATAGAGAACATCCTTCCCAAGGAAACATTTACGTTTTACGAAGATCATGATTTCTGCCTTATTTTCAAGGATTGGCTATGTTTCTATTCGATTGGTTCAATAGCTTCATGGGATCACTTTCGCCGCCAGTGTTTGCTCTTTGTTCATTATTAAAGCAGTGTTTTTTAACAAAATCGTGCCTCGCAGTGTATGTAGATGTGATTAGATAACAAGCATGCTATGGTTGCCGCCGTGGCGTTTATTAACCTAATGTCCTACCAATCAAAAAACCTCACAGTTCGTGAACAAATGTGTTGAGTCATCGAAAGGCTGAACATTGGAGAGGCTTTAAAGGTTATACAACATTCCTCTGTAGCTCACGTAGGTAGTTTTGGAAATTATGCGAGAAGGACGATATATACGACAAACCTGCAGGTACAGTTACAGAATATCGGATAGCTACCAGCCTACCTATTATAATAGGGAAGCACGAGCTATAAAATTCGAAAAATATAAGGGTGCATCAAAATAAAATTATAATAAATAACCATAAAAATCGGATTATTTGGGACGACTTCTGGACAGTAAAACTAACCAACAATTTTGAAAATGAAAGGTAAGTTATCACAAGTACAAATATATGCATGTTTATATACAGAGGTTTAACAGAAGTCAAATGATAAACACACACAGCGCACCTCCGCAAAGAGTTACATGAACATACTCAAAGAAGCATGCAGAATAGGTCTAATACTTTAGATGGCTGTCGTGATAAACACGTAGAGGCGTTGACAACAGTGCGTTAAAGAAAAGGATTCTGACAACTGCATCACTACACATTGCGGGATGAAACGCCTTTGGGAAGACAGTGTAAGAACGCTCATCTGAAATATATTTATGAAGGTTCCGCAATCTGGTGAAATGATTTTCCCATGCTGTAAACCACGAATCATAAAACTTATATCCACCTCTCGAGCAACACCCAACAGGATATCAACTTTTATGCCAACAAACCAAGCCATGACTCAATATCGAATAAAATAGCACGATCAATATAATGTCTGACCCGGGATAGAGAAATATCGGATCGAAGGTGTCATACATATACAAGTCAACAGACCCTGATGTTTCCAAAGAGATGTGGAAAATGTAAAGTTTAAGAGGCACAGAGAGAAGAGAGTGAACGCATCATGTGCTAAAACAAGATGTGCTGATCTGATCGATATGTGTTTTTATTGAGTCGAACTGAGACAATATATCTGTCGAAAAACGTAAACACAATGTTTCCACCAGTGATGTTAGCCAAATGTAGCAACTGCAAACCAAGAAACGGGGTGCTACGGAGTAGTTTACTGTAGGAGGCTGTACGAGGCGATGACAACTGACATGAATCGTGACGTCGGTTTCCAAGGCAGTGACGTCATTACAGTGTGACGTCATACAAATATTGTACTACCGGACAAAACTCTTCCGCAACCTCTTTATGAAACCGGTTTCGGTTTGAAACCAAAATATTAACAAAAATACGCTATTTTGTCAGTTTAATACATGTAAGACGTGGGTAATAAATAAAATACCACACTCGGTCTCATTACATACGACTTATACGAAACTCGTGACCTTCCTATGATAGGAAGGACACTCGTTTCGTATAAGTCGTATGTAATGAGACCTCGTATAGTATTCTCTATGTATTGAACGTCTTCATAGATCGGATTGTCAAACCGGATGATTACTATCGTTCCTCAATACCGATTGTTTCTGTCCATGTAAGATTGTCTACATAGCAAGCGTTACCTAATCTTTGCTGAACAACAATCAAACATATCATCCGTTTTGGTGAAGACGGATATTATATATATATATATATATATATATATATATATACAGAAGCGCTTAATACGCAAACATATTTTACAAATATCAGATACTCTGCTCGTTATACTTTCATGGCTTTTGATGACATAGGTATTTGTTTATTCTTAATGTATGCCTTTCATTCGTCACTATATGGCTGCATTATTGCAAATGTGACATAACTTTTACACACTCGCTACCTCTGGAAATGGCCATACTATTCAAGGGGATTCCAGCTTTACAGCTGACTCAAAGTCGAAATACCGCCATCGTATTTGAGTGAGTTTAGTTTTACACCGCACTCAGCAATATTCCAGCTATATGGCGGCGGTACCACCGCCTTTGATCTATCAGAAACAATGTACATATAATACAAATACAGCACTGTTTGAATAACACTGCCACGTAGAACCATATTAGTAGTAACGTAATACATTTACGTGCACTTTGATCTCGACTACACAAAATAGGGCTTACCAGGAAATGAACTAACCAATCAAAGGTATTCACTGTTATAGGGAGCTGAGTCAGTTAACTCCTGGTTGAGAGTTTTTATTTATGATAGATTTAATTGCCTGTTTATGCATGCTATTGATTCATTCTGTCAGAGAGTGGGTTGTGACATCTTTGTTAATTGAGGTAATACCGTTGCTTAGCTTATCTGATTGTATATTTACTCATGGTTGGTCAATCAGCCTTTGATTGTTCTATCTGGGACCTTGATTCCATGGCTCTTTTCACTCTCCTTAGTTACATTTAGCTGCTGAAAACAGAACTGTGATCTTGCATCACGTTTTCTAGTATTACTTTACCCTTATGTAATGAAGCCTTCTCAGAAGCACAGCTCGGTGTCTATATATTCCGGAAGATTTGATGTCATGAAGTTGATTCCCAGCATACAAATAGAATGGTACTGTAACCACAATCAAATATATAATTATTACCGTATTGTGGTAATCAGTGTTTGACAACTAAAGCTGGTGACATTTACATTCAGAGGCCTTAAATGAATATTCTTTGGCTTTAAGGGTTTTTCCTTGAGTGGCATTTTAAAAGTTGGGAAGTACAATTTTGGGAAATTTTATCTATAACTACTTTTTTTTATTTCATTTCGTGGATGCAACGTTTCAAACCAGATACCGTTGTAACTATCCCCAATCCTTCATCCCTGATTGACAATGGTACAACAACCTGTATCAACGTCGCACTCACGAAATATATAAAGCTGTTATCCATAGAGCTGGTCAATATTTTGAGGGTTTACCTGAAAGTCCCCCACATCTGACATCCTTCAGTAACAAGAATTAATATACTTTCGTGTTAATACAAATAGTAACATTATTCAAAGCCAAACTCCATGCTCAAGAAAGAGCAACAGTAACGGATAAATGACACTCGATTATTTTCAGGTAACTTAATCTAAACAGGCGTCTTTTATGCAACTATTTTGTTTGTTTTCAATATAAAAGGGTATAATGTTTCCTTTTCTTTTGTTTTAAGATGTAAAATAAAAGTTTCACTTACTGCTGGTATTGTGTGATAGGGAATGGCGCCCAGCTGTGGAAATGAGAGGTTTCCTGGCATGGGTCAGGTAAACGCAGCCATTATGTTGAGGACAAATCTCAGAAATTAAAACGAAGTTGATCCGGTACGAGCGGCCATTCGAGACCTCGATTAGTTTTATGATACTCAGTTAGTAGGATATTCTACAATAACAGTCGATTAGATAGGATGGAACACATTTCATTTCACCTACATTTCCCAGCATGTGCAGACCTAAACGACTCTATCAGTTAGAT